GTTTTGGATAGAAAGACTAGCTAGTATGCTCATATTTTACTTTGATTTATGGTCATGGTCATTTCTTTCAGAAATACATATCAAACTGACAATAAAAAAGAGAGACATTGTATCCCACAAAAGTATCACAAACTATGCAGAATCCGGTTATCCTTCTTGATCCAGTGTGTCAGTTCCTGCATGATCCAGAGAGAATTTGTTAGCCTTGCTCAAGACACACAGTCGTGGGACTGCTCTTGTTTGCTGGTTGTTGCAGTTTTTATGAGTATGACCAAAAATGTATTCTTGTAACAATGTATCCAATGTAAGTCTGCACTATTAATAGTGTACTTCCAAGGGCTGCTCAACCAACAAAAAACTTCAATTCTATAAAACAACTGCATCCCCTTAAGTGGAATTTAGTTGAGCTTTAAGTATTGCCAGTTCTAAATAAAAACAGCGAGCATAAAGTGGAAATAGGAAGAGGTAATGGGTATACAGTCATCTGATAGGGAGTTAGGCCCAGACGCACAGGTGTTTTTGACTGTAAACCATGTTACAAGAGCATCTGCCAGCTTGCAGTGTAGTGGGGAAAATCCAGACAGCAAGAGTCCAAGGAGCAGCACTTCGCTCGTTTTGGGAGACCTGCATCATATCCACACAGAGAGATGGAGAGTTGAATCTGACAACCAATTATATCTGTTGAAACCTTTTGTGCTTTTTCCTCCTTCTACTTTCCTCTTTCCATCAATTTAACTTTGAGCCGAGAGACTTTGTGCAGGGATGCAAAAGGTCATCTATATCTATCAAAAACATCTTACGTTTCAAAAACGCATAAATATGTTTGAGAAAGTAACGTAAACTTCACTTTCCCCATAAGCAGTAAAACCACTGGGACCACAAATTAAAGAACATTTCAAAAGGTTTATTACTTGTGCGATAATTTAGGCTTCCAGTATTTTTAAAAAATATGCCTGTGACAAGCAACACACATCTAAAATACACTGGTTCTTTTTACTTCTGTAGTC